GACGGTCACCTGTGCAGGTGATTCTGTTGCGGGCTGTGTTGAGACAGCGTAGACTGCAAGGTGAGTGTCATCTGTTAGTTCTGCTCGGCAGACGCTTTCTCTGGGCACTGGCAGAATAGAAGTGATGGCAATGGTTCCGTTGGGTCTTGTGAACGTTACGGTGTCATCATATTCATCTGACAGTAGTTGGACTGGTATGTGGCCTATGACCGGTACCGTTAGCTCAAAGTCATGGAATGTCTGGTTGATGAGCCATCCCAGGTGACTGGCTTTGGGAATGTTGATGTCTTTGGCCGTACAGTTGTTGAACAATACATACACAGCACGAGATGACACTTCAATGAGAGGTGTGGCTTCCAAGGTCAGTCCTAGTTTTAGGCAGGTCCTGGAAGGTTGGAAGAAGCCTAGCTTACTGTCGAGAGAGTGGCCAGGTCGCATGTTGAGGCGGACGCTGACACTCTTGCTGTAGGCAGGTATTGCAGCTTCTTGGTCACTGATCATGGCGCATGCGTCTGGCATTGTTTTACCAGATCGAAGGTTCTAGAAGTTGACTGCAGTGGTCAGTTGGTGTGACAGGGGAGCCCATATGACGTCGTTCACAATGTCCACGCAGGCATTGAGCCGGACCATGATGTCTGCTCCATTGTAGATGTCATGAGGTAGGTTGGGGACAATGAGGAAGTAGTGACTCAGGTGTCTGTTGTTCCATCGTATGTCCACAGCGCAGATGATCTTGGAGGTAGCCATGGTTGTCGACAAGGGACTGAGAAGGAAGCGGCTGTGTCTTGAGACATGTGGGAGGCTCTGCTGTCCTTGATTCAATGCTCTGAATAGCTTCAGGCTGATAGCTGAGTTCTCCGCCCACAGGGTTAATACTGCGTCGGACACTGATGTGTCATGGACATTTATGGCAGTCATGATTCGAAGGGGGACTGAGTCTGAGTCCTCTCCGCCCACAGGGCTAATGCTGCGTTGGACACTGATGTGTCGTGCACATTTATGGCAGTCATGATTCGAAGGGGGCCTGAGTCTGAGTCA